GAAGAAAGAAGTGCCCCTGGGGATGTCCCTGTGCATCTGTGCAGATTAAGGGAGTAGCTTCCAAGCTTCACAGTACTGCCCGGCTAGACGGGGCTCCCAAGCTGAGAAAAGAAAAAGAAAACAAACAAACAAACAAATCAAAACAGAACATATGAGAGCAAACAAACAAAAAGCCCCAGGGGTCCCACGAGGGTGGTAGAAGCCGTTTCACAGTCGAGCGGTGTTTCATAGCCTTTCAGGAAAGAGTAAAGATGGCACACGGAGCCAGGCATTTGAGACAAAGGAGGGGGAGGTTGTGAGAGGTAAGGAAGAAATCTAAAGAAGCAGAAAAAAGCAACCCCAGTAACCAACAAATGACACTCAGGGAGCCAGCCAGTTCGGGTGGGTGGAATCTAAGCAACACCAGGGTGAAACCTGTTCTTCCTGGCTAAGAGACTGTGGCCACGGGAAGCAGAGAAGGCCGAGTGGGTATGAAGAAGGATGGGGAATGGGAAAGCGTATATCGTTGGTTACCAGTTGTTCTGCCTCCTGCTGGAAGCTCTGTGAAGCGGCTTTCTAGTACCCCCTGTTCACTTATCTCTGTTAGGAGTCCAAGATGGCGGATAGGGGACCTCTGCATGTATCTCTCCTCGCTGTCTGTTCTCAGTCAGTTTCTTATTCCAGTCGGTGCTTGGCTGAGTTCTTTATCTCTTCATTTGATGCTTAGGGTTTCAGGATTGATGTGAGACACTGTTTGACTTAGTTTTTTTTTATCTTTGCTGTGGAGGGATGGTGTGGTGCTTCTGACTATAGCGCCATGTTGCCCGGAAGTCTCATGTGATTTATCTGTGTGCATTTTTCAGTGGAATGAGAACCAAGGATTTGATTTAAAAAAGCACAGATAATAAGGCCACATGTAAATTACCTTTTATTTTTCCTTTTTGGTAATGATTTTAATGTAGCTCTTCAAAAATGAAAATATGAAAACTGCCAAACATTTTTTTATTCCTTCATGATCTTCCGCTCTTATCCTTGGGTCATTGGATTTATCCCTGAAGGGTGTTGGGGTAGAACAGCAGAGTTGTTAGAGAATTACCAGTCTACTATGTCTGCCAAGTTTTTTCCCTCTCTCCTCACCTTGTAACCTCACCTTAACCTTTTATCTCTGTGCTGTGACTTTCCTCATGGCCCTGTTAAACAGAAGAGCCCACTGACCAGCTTATGATCTAGAATATCTGAGGCCCACCTCATATGTTCTTATTTGAGGACCTCAGATGTTCTTATGGCTCTTTTATCCCTCTGCAGTCTTGCTATCAAATGCTCTTAATTTTGCAAGTAAAATGCAAAATATAATTCCCTTCCTGGTGGGAAGATTTCTAAATGCTCAAATAATTTAAGTAACAAGTGCATTATCTTATGTTGCCCCATTTTTTAAACTCCTAAGATCCTAAGAGGAAATACTTATTTCTTGGATTCACCTCTTTCATAGTTAACCATTCTTTTTATTCTTGGCCTTGTTTAAGCTCCCGTAAAAACTCTGCAAATTACAGAAAAGAGAAAGTGATTTCTGTTTAGGCCTTACATCATCATCTTAACAACCAGCTGAAACTCTTCTTGCAAAGACTGGGTTTTGCCTCTGTGACTTCCTTGGACTCAGATTATAGAATTTTACATAGCTAGCTTCTTTCCTTGTAGGGGCATAATTCAGCTCCTTCTTTACTGCCTTGTTCTTTCTGACATGTTTCCTTCTTCCCCCCTCTCTCCTTCCCTCCAGCCTCTTCGTGTATTCTATTCAGTGTCTCTCTCTGTGCTATCTACTGGGGACTCAAAAATGAGTAAGAATTTTGCCCACAAGACAAGTTCACAGTAGAACAGGGGAAATAGACACGTAAACAATTAACTGGGTTAAAATGTAATAAATGCTGTGTTTTATGATAAGTATGAAATGAGCTCAGATGAGGAAGCAGTTACATGTAAGGGAGGGTGTGAGTTCACAGAGAAAGTAATACTTGAGTGGTGTCTTAGTTGTCTTAGTTTCCTAGTGCTGCTATAATAGAAGTACCTCAAGCAGGTGGCTTTAAAGGATAGAAATAATTTTCTCACAGTTGAGGAGGCTGGAAGTCCAAATTCAGTGTATGGCTTTAGGGGGTGGTCCTTTTTTGTTTCTTTCAGCTTCTGCTTGTTCTCATTGAGTCGATTCCAACTCGTAGTGACCCTATAGGACAGAAGAGAACTGCCCCATAAGGTTTCCAAGACTGTAATCTTTACGGAAGCAGATTGCCCATCTTTCTCCCGTGGAGCAGCTGGTGGATTCAAACCACTGCGCCCCCAGGGCTCCTTTTTCAGCTTCTAGTAGTTGGCAGCCCTTGAAGTTCCTAGGCTTGTAGATACATCTGCCTCTGTCATCTTCCTACAGTGTCTGTCTCCCCCCTGTGTTGGCTTCCTTGTCTCTGTGTCAATGCTGCTCTTTATATCACTCAGAAGTGATTAGATTTAGGATACACCGTACCCTGATATGGCCTTATTAACATAACAAAGAAAATCCTTTTTCCAAATAGGATTACAACCACAGGTACAGAGGTTAGGATTCCAACATATATTTTTGGGGAACACAGTTCAGTCCATAACAAGTGGGACCCTGAAGTATGGAGAGAGTTTGTCAGGTCTAAGAGGAGGGCAAGAGGATTCGTGTGAACTTTGATACAGCTTGTTCTAGGATGATAAGTGGACCAGGTAGCTAGAGAGTAGGGTTTAGGGGAGGGAGTTACTGGAGATGAATATTCTAAAATTTCCAAGTTTCTCAGTGTATATGTCATAAATACCTTTGCAAATATTTTAGAAAGGCATTAGATTAATATATGCATGAGCACAGCTAAACCCAATTATATTTCAGCTTTTCTGATCTAAATAATTTTCAGTTACTTTTAATTCATCATAATTTTCATGAAAGAGAATAAAAGGATGCAAGTTTTAGATGGTTTGAATTTTTTTCCTATTAGAAGTTTGAATTAACAGCATATTAAAATTATAGTTTCGAAACCTGGTAATCACAAATGCAAGCAGTCATTTTCTTCCTACAGTATATTTCTTTCTTTCTTTTTTTTTTTTTTTACCCACTATCTTAAAGTATGTGGAGCTCTGGTGGCACAGTGATTAAGTTCTGCTGTTAACCAAAAGGTCAGCAGTTCAGTTCCACCAGCCACTCCTTGGAAACCCTATGGGGCAGTTCTACTCTATCCTATAGGGTTGCTATGAGTCGGAATTGACTCAACGGCAGCAGCGTTTTTTGTTTTATCTTAAGGCAATTCATTTATTAATTAAACTAGTATTTACTGAGTATGTCTTATATGTTGGGCAAAACCAACCCATTGCTGTCACGTCAATTAATTCCAATTCATAGCGACCCTATAGAACAGGATAGAACTGCCCCATAAGGTTTCCAAGGAGCGGCTGGTGGATTCAAACTGCTGAGCTTTTGGTTAGCAGCCTGAGCTCTTAATCTCTGTGCCACTAGGGCTCCATGTTGAGCAGGGAGAAATAAACAAGGTCCTTTCCCTTAAGGGAGAGACTGATAGATGAACAGGCAATGGCCATATACTCTGCTCAGTGCAGTGCTAGAAATCAGCTGAGGAAACAAAGGAGGGGCCCTTGATCTGGGCAACAGTAAGGAGTGCTGGTGAGTAGGACAATGGGTCACAGAAGGTTTCCTAGAATTAATGCTTGAACTGAGTCTTGAAAAACAGAAATTAGCCCGGTAAAGAAACAAGAGGCAGAGGGAATGGCATTCTGAGCAGAAAGAAAAACAAGTATAAAAGCACAGGGAGATGGTACATTTGGGCAGCTGCAAATACTTCTGTACGGTTAGCTTGGAAAGTGAGTGTGGATGAGTGATAAGAGATGGGGCTGGAGAGACAGCCAGGGCCAGACCATGAAGAATCTTGGGTGATGTGTTAAGGAGTTATTAAATTGTGGGGAGCCATTGAAAAACAAAGCTAGAGCCAGTTGTGGAGTGGCAGAAGGGTCACAAGTTTGCATTGGCCTGGCAGGGTGAGGTCTGACCTTGACAAAGAAAAATCTGAAAGTGGGATGGCCGCGGTTTCAGTAATCCCAGCAAGAATTGAAGAAGGCTGTACCAAGGTAGGGCTGGGGGAAGGTGGGTGGTGGGAGGATGAAGAGAAAGAGATCTGTCATCTGAGGGATGTAAAGGGGGTCAAATGAACAACACTTGGTGGCTCTCAGGACATGGGGTTGAGGGAGCAGGAGGTGTGCATGATATCCCCCACATTTCCTGTCTTGGTTGGTGGCACCATCCACCTGAGGGGGAATTCAGGAATTTAGAAGAATCAATAGGTTTGGGAGTAAAAGAAATTGAGGGGCTCAGCTTTGGGTGTGTTGAGTTCAAGAAAGTTGAGAGGAGATGAATGTCCAGGAGACAGTTGGGTATATGGGCCAGAAACTCCAATGAGAGACATAGGCTAGAGCTTGGAGGTTTGGAGAAACCAGTATCTTGATGACACTTGAAGCTGTGGGCAACCATGGATCACCCAGGGTGAGTGTAGAGAACAAGAAGAGGCTGAGGTTAGGATGGTGGGTGGAAGAAGAGTACCTTATGAAGTATGAGGGGGCTTGACTGGAGCAGTTGGAACATTAAGAGAGGGTGATGCTATAGGAGCTGTGGTACATTTGGCTCTTCTATATGAAGTTTTATTGCTTAATTTTAATTTTTAATTCAAATATTCTCCGCTTAACATTTCATGATTGCAACCAAATGGACAGAATACATTTAATGATGAAAATATTTAAAATATTTATTCTAACTGAATATCTGAAGTAAATCTAAGTAATGTATATTTCATATAATCATGCTTTGAGTGCTGAATAGAGTGCAGTTTTAACTCTGCCAGTAGGTGCCACTAGGAACACCAGGAAGAGGATTCTAAGGAATAACTATAGTAAATTAAAACGAGAGGTACAAGGCCTTGTTACTTTAACTTGAATTTTTTTTTCTTTCACAACTATAGGATGGTTCAGCAATTTGCTGTGGACTTCGAGAAGAGAATTGAAGGGTCAGGGGATCAAGTAGATACCCTGGAACTCTCAGGTGGTGCTAAAATCAATCGTATTTTCCACGAACGCTTTCCATTTGAGATAGTAAAGGTTTGTACTGAATGTTATTTTTTCCCTTCATTTCCATATTCCGTTCTCCGTAACTGTTGATACAATATTATAAGAGTGGTATGGGTCTAAATTCTTGAAACAAACAAACAAACCAAAAAACCAGACTCAGGTGATGAAATTCAGGAAAGAAATATTTCTTACTGATGGTTCTGATTTTATTTAATGGGATTTAACCACATTTTGGATAATTTCAACAAATGCTAACTGAGTTCCTGTGTTATTTATTTGTTGTCTAATTAATTTAAAAATATTTATTGAGCATATACTGTTTGCCAGAGTTCCAGGTGCCAGTGGTCAAGACAGAGGAGGTTTTTGTTCATCTACTGAGGAAAGACAGAAAACTAACAAACAGACAAAATAAGAAAATAACCAAGTATTATTATGGTAGCATGATGTGAGAGGGAGGGGCTGGGTGAGCCACTTTCAATGGGATGTTCAGGAAAAGTCTCTCTGAGTAGAGGACATTTAAACCATGACCAGAATGGCCTGAAGAAGGCAGCTGTGGAAAGATCAGAGGAAGCAGCTTATGGCGTGGTCTTATAGCCAGATGAGTATGGCAGTTGAAGAACAGATGTGCTGGTACAGAGCTGACTATGGGGAGATAGGTCTGAAATGAACTTAGAGAGGAAGGAAGTGCTCACTCAGTCCATTCAGAGCTTTCTAGGTTGTGGTGAGGCATTTATGTTTAACTATGGAAAGTCATGGGAGGGTTTAAGAGGGGTATGACCTCATTTGGTTAATAATTTTAGAACAACACTATGCCTGCTGGATTGTAAAGGGGCTGGAGTGAATCCAGGAAGACAAGTCGGATGAAGAAAACAGTAAGGCAAGAGCAGGGGTAGATCCAGTTTTTGTGGAGCCTGAAGCTTATACTGAAGTCACTGGGTGGCTCAAATGGTTAAGTGCTGGACTACCAACCGAAAGCTTGGCCGTTCATACCCACCCAGAGGCACCTTGGAAAGATAGGCCTGGCCATCTGCTTCTGAAAGGTCACAGCCTTGAAAACCGTATGGAGCAATTCTCCTCTGCACACATAGGGCTGCCAGGAGTTGGAATGACTCAACAGCAGCTAACAACAACAGTGCTTATACAGTTTTAGGAAAAAGAATGCAGAATTACAAAGAATACAGAATTAGAAACACACAAGTAGGCCCAGGGTCCTGGAAGGGGCTTGTGCAAGGGAGAAGCCCTGAAGCTTAAGGTTCTTTGGCTTCACAGTAAAATGCTTCTGGGAAAGAGATGACAGAGAGAAATGGATGGATTTGGGATTTTGAAGGTAGGATCAATAGAACTTAGACTGATATGGCAGATGGAAGAAAGACAGAAATCAATGATGGGAGAAAGTTTTGGCTTGCAAAACTGAGTGAACGGTGGTGACCATCAACTGAGGGAACCTGAGGAGAGCTGGGGTGGGGGTTGCATCGAGAATTCTGTTTGGGACATGTTAAGTGTGAAATGCCTGATAGACAGCTACATAGTTGTAGGGACTATGCTACTTGCCTTACTTGCAGAGAGGCAGATGCTTATATGTTGGTGTGGGAGGCAGATGGGTAAATAGATAATTTCATTAAAATGTGCTAAGTAATGTGATAAACTTCAGTACAGGATACTATGGAAACACAGTCCATGGACATGAATCCGGGCCTGAGTGTGTAAGGGAGCTTGGCTTCTAAGCTGTGTTTGGAAGGATGAGCAATTAAGTAAGAAAGGAATAGGAGAGGTGGGGGAGAAGGTAGTCCAGACAGAAGAGAAGACTGGTAAAAGGGCCTGCACTGTGAAGCCAGGGAGCATGGGTAGAGAACTAAAGCAGCTTGTTGTTCTATGGTTTAACTCGTGAGGGGGACAACGAATCAACAGTGAGGCTGGAGAAGTTAAATCTCAGAAGTCAGGGGCTCAACCGAATGTTCTCTTGATATCCTTTCCAGGCCTAAGCCCTGTGACACTTTGATCTACATACAAATAAATTTTACGTATCTAGAACTCCTGAGAAATGTCTGTACAACAATCTCTCCCACGTTAGATTAGTAAAATATCATTAATTTGCTTTTATAAAGAGGCCTTGAACTCAGGTGGTTAAAATGGCCAGGGAGAAAAGCCATCCATTGGTAATCTCTGGGGAGCTGTACTGCTTTGCCTGTCAGGTGACATACTCATCTATGCATTTGTTTGTGCCATCAAATTTAGTATATTCAGGAACGGAATGGAGGATCATGACTTTCAAATGGATGGCCACATTTATGTCCAGAAGGCGTCCTTCATGTGGAGCACTCCTTATCTGTAAGAGTTAGAAATCCACTGCACTGAGGCTCCCAGAAATCCCTTCTGTTCTGTGCTGCCTTGAACTTTGTATAAACAGATGTTTTGACCATCTGGGTTTAAGTTAGGAGAGACATGAGTATCCATTTATTAATAACTAAGTCAAGTTATTCTCATTCTTTAATATTCAACACTGTTATTATTCAAAAGGAATTAAGTATTATAACCATGGCTCTTTTTGCGTCTGCAGATGGAGTTCAATGAGAAAGAATTGCGAAGAGAAATAAGCTATGCAATCAAAAACATACATGGCATCAGGCAAGTAGTTCACATTTTTCTTGTCTTCAGTTCAAGCTACCAAAAGAAAATCAATGTTTATAAATGGCTAGTGAAGTAACCTTTTCGTCATCTGAACAGAGGTGGGAGTGAGAAATAGGAAATCTCAGTTTGTGTTCAATAGTAATTTCTCATATTGTCATAGTCTTTTTCAGTTCAAAACATAATAAAACCCTGCACTCAAGGCACTGTGCTTGGCACAATCAGGAAGATACAGATGAGCAAGACTGTTCTCAGTAATCTTACGTTGTAGTGAGAGAGGCCCGACATGCTCACAAGTAGTCATTACGTACACAGAGGAAGGACAGATTAATTTTGCCAAGAGTTGTAGAGTGTCATTGGAAAAGATCAATAGAAGTGGTAACTTTTGAGTCAAATCTTGCCTGTTTAGAGAGCAAGAATGATTTCAAGAGTCAAAGGTGTATTGTCTGTGTGTGTGTGTTTGCATTTGTATGGGGTGGGTGGGGATGCAATGAGAAGTGAGGGCATGGCAGGATGGAATGGAGGCTGTTGAGGCTGGAGGATAGAAAAAAGGCCTTTCAAGTGTTAGGAGCCATGTGAGCAAAGGCATAGAGGTGGGAAGGGCAGCATGTATTTGTGGAGCCAGGAGTCATGCGTTTTGACTGGAGTTCAGAATGTAGATAGGAGTGCAAAGGGATATGAGGCTGGGAGGGTGGAATGGGGGTAACTCTAGTACCCGAATTTCCTCTTGTATAACATAGAATTATTTTAGTTTACTGTCTTCAAAGAACTGTGATGTGAAAAGATGAATTTAAAACCCATGTCTTGAGTTCATGTACAGAAGGCTAAACATTGTTTAATTGAACGTGTATTAAATTACAAGAGTCCTTGGGTGGCACAAATGGTTAAGCGCTTGACACTAGGGTGGCGGTTCAAACCCACTGAGAGGCACCTCAGAAGACAAGTCTGGTGATCTGCTTCTGAACACAGTCACAGCCGTGAAAACCCTAAGGAGCACTGTTCTCTGTTACACTTGAGGTCACCATGAGTCAGAATTGACTAGATGACAACTAACAACAACAATATTAGAATGAGGTGTCCTGAGTTCATGTTAATAAACTTAGGTTGCCTGCTTCCTAGATGACTTCATATGAAGGAGGTGTCCTCTTTCTATTGTCAGTTGTGTTTCAGCTTCTGGCTAAAGAGCAAATGAGACTGTGTTGGGAACAGAACCTGAAAGGGCAAAGATTGACCCTAAGTGGAACCAAATCACATTTTTGGGGTCATAAGGGATTTTTACTTAGCCAAATATGGTACTTCTGCTTAACTTTTAAAACCCCTTACCAGGTACATTTTTGTTAAGTATAACAAAAGCTTAGTAATTCAGTATTGTAGATTTCTGATTTGCATGTATACCAACAAAGAAGACCAGTTGTGGCTATTATTCTGGGGCTAATTTGCCTGTAAGATGATAAGAGGTGCACAGTGTCTTGAGTATAAGGCAGACTAATAATGTGATTACTTAGGTTCCTAAATACATTAAATTTGAAATTTTTTTTCCTATTTGATTCTGTCAGAGTTTTGATTGATAGAACCCATCTTTGCCCATTAAGGACCTGAGAGAACAGATGTTTTAGTTTTCTTCCTTGTTCTGCTAACACTGAATGTCAACCTTGAACAAGGGATAGAGACAGTCCTGTGGGGCACACAAAGATAGATGTGTTAATGATGCTCCCTCCCAGTGTACTTGTTGTTTTGTTGTTGGGTGCCCTCGAGTAGATTTCTGACTCACAGTGGCCCCATGTGGCAGGTTAGAGTTGTCCCATAGGGTTTTCTTGGCTATAATCTTTACAGAAACAGATCTCCAGATCTTTCTGCCATGGAGCTGCTAGATGGGTTTGAACTGCTAACCATTTGGTTACCAGCTGAGTGCTTAACCATTGCGCCACTGGGGCTCCTTACCAGTACAGTAATGGAACTAAAACATGTGCTCAGAACACTGCAATGCAAAATAGAATGTTGGGGTTCAGAGAAGGAAGACTTTCTCAGCAACAGGATTGGAGAAGGTGAACTGTAGAAAGTGGTTGCTTTTTATCTGGGCTTTGAAGTACAGTTGGAATTTGGACAGGTTGAAAGTGTGAGAAGGGTGAAATGAACAGCACAAAGACATAAAATATTAGTATGAATATGTGTGTGAAAAGGCAGATGGTCCAGTTTACCTGAAACATAGGGTGCATGAAAGGGGAGGGGAAAAATAACATTATAAAGGAAGATAAGTATCAGATGGGGGAGAATTTTAATGTCAGACTGAACAGTTTGGGTTTTCTTCTTTATCCAGTGTGGAGAAATTACAGTGTAAGCTGTTTTATGATTAATATAGTTAGAAGTGGAGGTGAGCACTGGGTGCTAAGTAAATGATAAAAGGAGGCATTGAATAAAGCTGGGGTAAGGGAAATGTTAAGGAAATTTCCCAAAAGAGGTGACACAGAATTGAGTGTTGAAGGAAGAGAAGTTAATCAAACAGGTGAGATGGGAAGAGAAGGAGGATCTAGGCATGGGAAGGACCAAGTGCAAAGACTGAACCTGCAAGTCTTTAGGCATGGCTGATGCTCAGGGTTCAGGGATCCCTCATATTGTAGCTTTTTTCTGTTGGCCTTGTGTTTCAATTCAAGTAGTGGTTTTCACCTGTTATGAATCAAAGATACATCTAATTGCTTTTCTGGGATTCTGCTTAGCACGAGATAAGCATTGTTATGACACCCATTTGAACTAATTCCAGCCAAGAGGGAAAGACACTTATTTTTTTTTTTTGGTTATCATTTGTTATTTTTGTAAATTTGTAATTTAGTTTAGGTATCCTGGAATATTAAAATTAGTTATTAAAATTTTAATTAATCATGTTAAAATTAGGATCCTCATTACTACCTTCTTCTACCTTCAAGACCTGAGGACCTCACATTGGGAACTGCTGAGCTCCCTATAATGCAGCTCTCCTGGAAAGAATAGATTGTGTAGTCTAGGAACTCTGCTATTTCAGTGTGCAAAAAAGTGAGGATTATTTGGTAATCCTCAAAACGTAGAAAGATTGCTTTTGGAATACTTTAGAAATAGGAATTTAAATTTAGGACACCATTCCAATTGTAGCATTCTTTGTTATTACTGTAAAACAGTGAGATGAGACAAATCACAGTTAAATATCGGTTACGAGCCACTTTACATGCCACGAAAACATTTTGGGCACTATTTTTAGGTAATGTTAATCCTCCATAGATTGGGATTTATTATGGAATAGTAGTATTAAAGATATCATAAATGGTACTGTGATTAGAACAAGTCACTATGTAACTTTTAAAATTGAGTATTACGTGCTTACTTTAAGTAGCATCTAACTTTAAATATTTTTCATAAGATCATTGAATATTACTAATTTTTAAAATCTAATATGTTGCTTTTTTCCTTCCATTCAGGACAGGGTTGTTTACTCCAGATATGGCATTTGAAGCAATAGTTAAAAAACAAATTGTGAAGCTGAAAGGGCCTTCTTTGAAGAGTGTAGATCTGGTAATACAAGAACTAATCAACACTGTCAAGAAATGCACCAAAAAAGTAAGTGTGAATTATTTAACTTTTCTACAAGTAACTACTTGGTTTCACCACCTTTCCTACCCTGCAACATGACCTTCTTTCCTTGACCCCTTACTTTGTTATAGAAATTTGTTTGCCCAGGAGGAAGGATTGTGGGAAGTACTGCGTGGGAATTGCTTTCATGATAGAAGAGCATATTGTCTTCTATAATTCCATTCTATCTCACTGGCTTAGACCAGAAAGAGAATATTTTAGTCAGCTAATTTTTTTTTCTTTTGTCTTAAACAGTTAAAAATCACTTTAGAACAACTATGTGAATGCTCTAAACGGATTCTTTCCTATGGTACATAGATGCGGTAATTGTTAAGAGAAGGTGTCTTAGTTATCTAGTGCTGCTATAATAGAAATACCACAAGTGGATGGCTTTAACAAAGAGAAATTTATTTCCTCACGGTAAAGTAGGCTAAAAGTCCAAATTTAGGGCATCAGCTCCAGGGGAAGGGTTTCTCTCTCTCTCAGCTCTGGAGGAGGGTCCTTCTCATCAATCTTCCCCTGAACTAGGAGCTTCTCCGCTCAGGAACCCCGGGTCCAAAGGACGTGCTCTCCTCCTGGCACTCCTTTCTTAGTGGTATGAGGGCCCCTGTCTCTCTGCTCGCCACTCTCTTTTATATCCCCCAAGAAATTGGCTCAAGACACAATCCAGTCCTGTAGATTGAGATCTGCCTCATCAATGCAACTTCTGCCCATTTCCCCTCATTAACATCACAGAGATAGGATTTACAACACATAGGAACATCACATCAGATGACAAAATTGTGGATAATCACACAATACTGGGAATCATGGCCCAGCCAAACTGATACATTTTTGGGGGCCACAATTCAATCCATGACAGATAGAAGGGAATCACTGATATTGTGGATATCAGTAAGGATGTTCTTCTAAGTTATAAATGAATTCCACTTGAGCCTGGCGTTTTGGGAAGGGGCAGTGTAGTGTAGTGGTTAGGAGCCCAGAATCTGAGATCCAGTTGCCTAGATTCAAATCCTTACTCTGCTGCTTATTTGTGTGAGGAGCTGATAAGGGTTGAAAGGGTTTAAACCCTTTAACATAACATAATATAACAAAAAACGCTTTATACTTATCTGTTTGTTAATTTATCTGTGAAATGGAGATTATGATGATGATGATAATACAACCTCAGTGAGGATTAAACAAGATTATGTTGGAAGCCTACAGGTCACTTAACACACTGACTAACTGTAGTAAGTGCTAAGTAAACAGTAGCTGATCTATAAATGGCCATCTTAGTAGCACCCAACATTCTCTACCATGTAATATCTATTGAATCCATGCTACAGAGGGTGGAGGAGAGACTCCCCAATATTGGGGACTCCTCCCTGAGGAATATAGAGAATGTGTGCTGGATTCCTAGGGATGTGAAAGGAGTACCTTGTATTGGAAAATGCAAGAAGGGAATTAGTGATGGTGTTTAGGGTAGGGTAGGCCTAGCTCTGTAACAGTTAACACTGGTACTGTGAGCATTTCTTGAACGAATAGATACCTGTGTTTTTTTTTTTTTTAATTTAACTTTTTTTATCTGTACAATTCAGTGATATTAATTACTTTCATCATGTTGTACAACCATCACCACTGTCCATTTCCAAACTTTTCTATCACCCTTAAAGGAAACTCTGTACCCCATAAGCAATGACTCCTCCTTTTCCTCTCCCTCTCACCCCTTGTAACCACTCATAAGCTTCAGTCTCTATACATTTGCCTATTTCATATAAGTGGGATCATACAATATTTGTCCTTTCATGGCTGACTTAGTATAATGTTTTCAAGGTTCATCCATGTTCAGCATGTAATAGGACTTGATTTTTATTTATAGCTGAGTAATATTTCATTGTATGTAGATACCACATTTTGCTTATCCACTCATCTCTTGATGAACAGTTAGGTTGTTTCTACCTTTTGGCTATTATGAATAATGCTGTACTGAATATTGGTGCACGAGTATCTGTTTGCATTGCTGCTTTCAGTTATTTTGGATATATACCTACGAGTAGACTTGTTGGGTCATGTGGTAATTCTATGTTTTACCTTTTGAGGAACTACCAGCTCTTTTCCATAGCGCCACACCACTTTACATTCCCACCAGCAATGGATGAGGGATCCAGTTTCTCCATATCCTCTCCAGCACCTGTTGTTTTCCATTTTTTATTTATAGCCATCCTAGTAGGGATGAAGTGGTATCTCATTGTATTTTTTATTTGCATTTCCCTGATGACTAATGATGTTAAGCTTATTTTCATGTGCTTGTTAGTCATTTGTATATCCTCTTTAGTGGAATGTCTATTGAAGTCCTTTGCCCATTTTTTGACTGGGTGGTTTTGTCTTTTCATTGTTCCATTGTACTTTTTTTTATGTATTCTGAATTTTAAACCCTTATCAGATATATGGTTTGCAGAATTTTCTCTCAATCTGTAAGTTGCCTGTTCACTTTGTTGATAAAGTCCTTTGATGCCCAAAGGTTTTTAATTTCGATGAAGTCTAATATATCTATTTTGTCTTTTGCTGCTCGTGCTTTTGGTGTAATATCTAAGAATCCATTGTTAAAAACTAGGTCCCAAAGCATTACCTCTTTGTTTTCTTCTAAGAGTTTTATGATTTTAATTCTTACATTTAGGTCAGTGTTCCATTTTGAGTTAATCTCCATATTTGGTGTGAGTAGGGTTCCAGTTTAATTCTTTTGCATGTAGAAATCCAGTTGTCCCAGAACCATTTATTAGAGAGGCTATTCCTTCTCCTTCTTCCTAGAATACTAGGAAGAAGGACCTAGAAGTCTACTTCTGGAAAAAATCAGCCAGTGAAAGCCTTATGAATAACAGTGGAACATTGCCTGATATAGTGCCAGAAGATGAGCCCCTCAGGTTGGAAGGCACTCAAAAGAGCTGCCTCCTCAAAGTAGAGCCTTAAAGATAAGGGTGCAGTCAAGTTTTTGGGACTGTCATTTGCTGATGTGGTGTGAGTCAAAATGAGACGGAAGAGCTGCAAACATCCATTAATAATAGGAATGTGGAATGTATGAAATGTGAATCTAGGAAAATTGGAAATTGTCAAAAATGAAATGGACCGCATAAACATCAATATTCTAGCCATTAGTGAGCTGAAATGGACTGGTATTGGCCATTTTGAACCAGTCAGTCATATGGTCTACTATGCCAGGAATGACAAATTGAAGAGGAATGGTGTCGTATTCATCATCAAAAAGAACATTTCAAGATCTGTCCTGAAGCACAGTGTTGTCGGTGATAGGATAACGTTCATATGCCTACAAGGAAGATGAGTTAATATGACTATTATTCAAATTAATGCACCAACCACTAAGACCAAAGATGAAGAAATTGAAGATTTTTACCAACTTTGGCCTGAAATTGTTCAAACATGCAGTCAAGATGCATTGATAATTACTGGTGATTGGAATGTGAAATTTGGCAACGAAGAAGGATTGATAGTTGGAAAATATGGCCTTGGTGATAGAAATGACGCTGGAGATCACAGGATAGAATTTTGCAAGACCAGTGACTTCTTCATTGCACGTACCTTTTTTTAACAACATAAACAGTGACTGTACATGTGAACCTTGCCAGATGGAATACATAGGAATCAAATCGACTACGTCTGTGGAAAGAGACAATGGAAAAGCTCAATATCATCAGTCAGAACAAGGCCATGGGCCGATTGTGGAACAGACCATCAACTGCTCATATGCAAGGTCAGGTTGAAGTTGGAGAAATTAGAACAAGTTCACGAGCCCAAAGTACAACCCTGAGTATATCCCACCTGAATTTAGAGACTATCTCAAGAATAGATTTGACTCATTGAACACTGTTGACCGAAGACCAGACAAGTTATTAAATGATATCAAGGACATCATACATGAAAAAAGGAGGAGGTCATTAAAAAGACAAGAAATAAAAAAAAGACCACAATGAATGTCAGAAGAGACTTTGAAAGTTTCTCTTGAACATAGAGTAGCTAAAGCAAATGGAAGAAATGATGAAGTAAAAAAGCTGAACAGAAGATTTCAAAGGGTGGCTCAAGAAGACAAAGTATAACGAAATGTGCAAAGACCTGACAATAGAAAACCAAAAGGGAAAAACATGCTTGGTATTTCTCAAACTGAAAAAAAAACTGAAGAAAAAATTCAAGCTTCGAGTTGCAGTTCTGAAGGATTTTATGGGCAAAATATTAAATGATACAGGAAGCATCAAAAGAAGATGGAAGGAATACACAAGAGTCACTGTACCAAAAAGAATTGATCAAGATTCACCCATTTCAAGAGGTAGCATATGATCAAGAACTGATGGTACTGAAGAGGTCCAAGCTGCACTGAAATCACTGGTGAAAAACAAGGCTCCAGGAATTGACGAAATACCAATTGAGATGCTTCAACAAATGGAAGCAGCGCTGGAAGCGCTCACTTGTCTCAAGAAATCTGGAAGACAGCTACCTGGCCAACTGACTCGAAGAGACCTGTATTTGTACATATTCCAAAGAAAGGTGATCCAACATAATGCAGAAATTATCGAACAATATCACTAATATCATACAAGTAAAATTTTGCTGAAGATCATTCAAAAGCAGTTGCAGCAGTACGTCAACAAAGAACTGCCAGAAATTCAAACCAGATTCAGAAGAGGAAGTAGAGCCAAGTATATCATTGCTGATGTCAGATGGAGCCTGGCTGAAAGCAGAGAATACCAGAAAGATGTTTACTTTTGTTTTATTGGCTATTCAAAGGCATTCGACTATGTGGATCATAACAAATTATAGATAACATTGCGAAGAATGGGGATTCCAGAACATTCAAGTGGAACAAGGGGATACTGCGTGGTTTAAAGTCAAGAAAGGTGTACGTCAGCGTTGTATCTTTTCACCATACCTATTCAATCTGTATGTTGAGCAAATAATCCGAAAACCTGGACTATATGAAGAAAAACATGGCATCAAGA